AATCCTTCAGGAATGTGCATATAGACTGCATAGACCAAAACATAAGCGTTGGTATTGTAGAAAACAATAATAGAAGCTTCATGAAGGTAACCAGTTTCAAAGGGGAATATTACCCAAAGAGACCTTGCTAGGGGGAAGTATTTTCTTATTCTCCATTTCTACTCTCCTATAGTTTTGTGCTAAACACTCTTTGTTCTCGAGGAGACTGGGGCTTTACACCTGACTTCATGGTCCTGGAGGCAAAGTCTTGCTTGTGTCCCTCCATCTGGAAGGATAAAGGGAATGAAAACATGACATTTTTTTTCTTTTTCTTGGGTAACAGCAGCCTCCTTTAATAGTGCCCCTTGGATCTGTAAGACATGCTTGACCAGACATACCTCTGGAAGAGGTCAGCACTCCTGGGATTAAGAAACTTAGCAACGCTCCAGAGAGAGAGTTGGAAAGTCATGTTTAATGATACTTTGCTGAGAAACTGGGCAAATTTAATTAAAACATCACTTACTCAAGCCCAGTGGAACTAATTGAATGCTCTAATATTCCAACTTTTCATTAATGGGTTAAGAAAGAGGGCTGCACTTGTGTGTACAAGGGGGAAGAGGGGGGGGAAGATACAGAGAATAAGAGAGCTTTAGCAAGGCTGCCTGTGCTTCATTTAATATAACCGAGAAACTTAACTGCTGGCAACAGAGCTTGAATACAGTTGACTTCTCTCACCACTGCTGCCCCCACCCCCTTGACACACACACATTTCCCCTCTGATACACACCCTCTCCACCCAAGACCCCTCTGAAAGAATAGCTGAATTTGATTTGGCAGATTTGGCAGAGGAAGGGAAATTGCTTTTTTAATAAGTGGTCTATTCAGAGCTCCTACTTTTCAATAAAGAGAAGGCTGGAGAAGTCCTGGTCTAATTACCTCATCCTCACCCTAGACAAGCTCACCCTTTCATTAGCAATTGAGGTCATATCATATAACTTTGTGAGCCATCACGGGCACAACATGTTCAGTGATTATTTCATCGGTGGCGGCAAAATTACAGTCGGCCCATCAAGGTTGTAAAAAACAGAAGTAAAATAATAATTAAATGAGAACGTCTACCAGGAGACACTAAAACTAGGTGGGATAGGGTAATGTCACCCTTGCAGAAATACGTGGATTGTTTGCTCGTGTGACACCATGGAGAAACTGCTGTGTTGACCAGAAGGGTATAGTGCTGGTTGCCAAATCAGCCAGTTAAGCACAGGTCCTTTATTTGCTAGGTCTCATGAGACTATTTATACATTTTTGCCATGGTTGGGAGTAATTAGATGGGAAGGATTATGTGTTGTTAAGAATCAGTGAGAGACCACCAAGCTTGTGCTGTATCTTCAATAGATACTCCTCCAGCCCCTCAGGGAACACACATGTGGACATCCCATACATAGATGACACAGACCAGCAAAGGCTAGCACTGCAACAAGATCCTGTAGCAAAGTACAGGAAGAGAAAGTCCATTTCTAGCCCAGTCCAAAGCAGTCTCTAGTGCAGCAAAGGTTTAGATTTATGCATGTATAGCTCCACTAGTTGACATAAAATCTGTGGCTTGGTTAGAGGCAAAACACAGTGGGTGCCGAGCAGGAATTCAGGAGAGTTGGCTTCAGTCTCCTGCTCCATCATCAGCTTACTGATAACCTGGGGAAAGGCACTCAGTTTGCATCTCAACTCCCCCTTAAAATGATCATAATCTTTCTGGAACTCACAGGGACATTTAACACATTAGAGGCCATAAGAACATCTTAGCTATATAATGAGTGCTCAAGTTCAATTTTTTTCAGTTTTTTGATTCACACCAAATTCATGTAAGTTTTTGTCCAAATAATCAAGCTAGGTTAGTTCAAAGTGATTTCACACTCCCATAGAATCATAGAACTGTTCAGGTTGGAAAAGACCCTTGGGATCACCAACTCCAACTATCATCCCTACTCTACAAAGTTCTCCCATAAGCCACATCTACCAACACCACATCCAAATGACCCTTCAACACATCCAGGGACGGTGACTCCACCACCTCCCTGGGCAGCCTGTTCCAGTGTCTGACCACTCTTGCTGTGAAAAAAATTTCCTAATGTCCAGTCTAAACCTGCCCTGTTGCAGCTTGAATCCCTTCCCTCTTGTTCTGTCACCAATTACCTGTGAGAAAAGACCAGCACCAGCCTCTCTACAATGACCTTTCAGGTAGTTGCAGAGACATAGTCACTAGGTTGGCATCTCTTGTTGCTCAGGACAGGTGCTGAATTTTGTATTTAACCCACTGCCTTCATCAAGGAAAATATCAAGAAATTCAGCAGGGGAATCTTGCTCTACCTGCTCAGCAACTCTCAACCTCCACCAACACGGCATTGCCAGTGGGACCAGGAGGAAAGAAGCAAATTGAACCTGATATTAATCTACACACAAGTGTAAGTAATGTCAGAGACACCAACCATGCCGAGGTCAATACTCAGGCTTCAAATCAGTTTTGATATTCAAGCAAGTATTACAAGTTTTGACCTCACAATTACAAAGCCAGCCTAGGTCCTCATCTCTGACTTGAACACCTCTGATCATCTTAATGACACCATATTGTGCCAATGGTTTAGATCCACACATCCTGCCTATACGTATATTCTCCTGATCTGGAGATCAGATCAGAGACTGATCTCCTGGTGTATGTTCTCCTGATCTCAAACCACCATTCTCTTCAAAGTTTCCCTCTCAATATGCAGTTTGCTAGTTCCCTGCCTGGCTTCATAGTGCTGTTGAGACTCTAGTGGCCTGCTTGGCTTACCTTTCCACCAGACTAAGGTACAATTATTCTAAGAACACAAACAGAGAAATCATTTCAACCACTGCTGCAGATCGGCAAGGAAAGCTGTCAGACAGCAACACCAACTCAACAGACACAGCATCGGGGGACAAAAATAGGAACACTGGATCACTGACCTGCAGCAAAGGTCTTTGACTTGGATTGCCAGGAGGGCTCTCAGTGTCTGGACAACCGTCACAACTGTTACTCAGCTGTTTAGCTGCAGATACTACATTAGTGCTTAGAAACCACTGCCAATGACCTAGGCCTGACTGTGCCAAGTAAAGTGGAGGCAGAGGATGAGGCAGAGTCTCTGACATCTCCCCTTCTCAAGGGAACAAGCTCACAGTGGGACCAGGACAAGAAAGGACAAGAAGAAAAAGAAAATTCACTCCTTCCAGCTCATCCTTTGAGTTCATTTAGCTCAATGTCACAAGGAGACCATAAAGCAGAGATGATAAATAAGGACACCTAACCTAAATCCAAGACTGAGTCTCAGCCATAAGGGCATCCTGACTGCAGCTACTGAGGTGGAAGGCACTGGGAATTATGTCAAGTCCCTTGGGCAATTTTTTTAGCCCCACCGCTGCTGGGAGATACTGATGGAATTACAAGAACACATCAATAGCACCTAAAGCCACAGCCTTGTAGGTTTTGATGATCAGTATTATATGACTCTGGAAGGGGAGGAGAGTGGGGACATCTCACAACAATTGCTGAAATCATAACCCCCATGGACCACCTTCTCCATTCTTTAGTCCCATCTGCTACATAGTCAACTACAGGGAGTTTCGACAGACTCTTGGGAACAACCGATCACAAGGATTAAAGCAAATTTCATCACCCTGCAAAGCCTGTTTCACACGCCAAAGAGCTGCAACAGGAGTTCAGAGACACTGAGCCTTTTAATCCAGAGGCAGAAAAGCTGTCTGGCTTTGGCTGACACCAACTAAATCCAGGATATTTCTAATCCTGATCTCAGCGCTGTCTAGGAGCATCTGGTGGTGGGGAAAGGGGGAGAAGTTTGCTGGCCAGCACTCACTGGTGGCATTCTCTGATGGCCCAACTCTGTTGTAAGGAATGACATTTTATGCATACACACAGGAGCAACTGAGCTGGGATGGCGATTCCTAGAATGCACAACTGGCTGGGCTGCATTTGCCTAGGAAACTGGAGACTCAGGTCCCCCAACCCAGCCCCAACCCTCCATCCAATCACACGGACAATAACAAGGCTTGAAGGCTATTTATAGCCTTACAGTATATCCCTCTTCGAGGTTGGTGCAATGAAACACTGATCCTAGGCACCTGTGCTGGCCAATCTGAGGGATTTTCGTGTTTGAGCAACTCCAGGCTAGGTACGGGCAAGCAGATTAGGGGAGAAGGTGGAGAGCCCCATCCTTTCCCCCTTCTTGCTTCAATGATTCAGAAATTCCAGGAGCATTGTCCTTTCTATCAGTCCCATAGGGAGGCCCTCATGCAGGAGGGTAAAGTCTCATAGAGGAAGATAAATAGCAGGAAGTCTTTCAGTTGAGAGGGTAAGGATGGGAAAAGAAAAGGAGGGACTACTCACCCAAACACTGTCAGCTGCAAACCCAGCAGCTCTAGGCAGAGTGGAAGGCTGCCAGATAATACAGTTGAGGGACTTTCAGGACTGAGGTGAGTCAGAGAGGATATTTCTACCCTGGTTCTCCGCCAGGTGTTTGTCCAGCCAGTTTTAAAGAAACCTGGCCAGGGAGATGCTACACTATACATGCTCTATTGAACTATTGCAAGAAAAGCATCCCTCAGCTTGTGCTATGGCAGTATAAATCCCTTCCTTATTGTCCTACCTGACTGTAAGCCTCCAGAACCTGCCTTTCCATCCATTTGCACTCTAAGACCATCTCCTACCTGTGGAAAGCCATCAGTCTTTTCCCTCACCTCATGTTTTCTAGACCTGGAGAGTCCTTTTTCCTTCCCTCTGATCTCCCTTCAACATTCTTGCACAACTCTTGAAGCGTGAGTGACAAAACCAGGCCATAGTCCCACAACAGAGACTTCATCCCTCCAGCAGAAGAACCACTCCATGCATTTTGCAACCAACGCTCCTATTTCAAAACACAAGTTCAGCACCTTATTGCCCCCACAAACCCCACAATGGCTTAAACCTCCACCCTGAGCAGTCTTCAACGCACCTTCATTCCCACAAGGTTATTGTGGAAGTCCACCCTGGCTCGCAGGTCCTTGTTGGGTTTCCTCCCCAGGAACTCCTTGACAAACTTGTTGCTGTACTTCAGGTTGTCACCACAGCCACCCCACTGCCAAGCCTCACGGTTCTCCAGGTCAGGGGCCTCGTCACAGGTGCAACGTTCCATCCTCCCTGCACTGCAAGCCTTGGCCATGGCGTGTGTCAGCCCCGCAGAGGAGATGGCATACAAGAAGGCTGTCTCCTTAAAACCTGCAGGAGAGAAAAGGAGGCAGCTTTAATTGCAGCTGGACCAAAGGTTAAACAAAGAAAAAACATTAGGAAATTGAGGGGAAAAAAAAAACAACAACAAACATTGTGAAAAGAGTTGGAGAGATGTCAAAGGGTGCTGAGCTCTGTGCTTATCACTGATGGTAGAGAGGACACAGTGGAGGGCAAGGAATGCTGGACAGAGGTAGCATGAGCCAGGATTCAAAAATGCAAATGAAATCTGGACAGCTCTGTGGCTGTCACTCTGCAGGGAGTCTCTGCCTGAAAACAGGAAGAGATGAGCAAGAGTTGGACAGGCCACAGAGGTATCATCACCATGGTACAGCAATACTGCTACCAAAGGGACACCAAATAGCAGGAACCCAGCATAGACTTCCCATCTGGTGGTTGGAGTAGAAAACATCGAGGCTCCTTGTCTTCTCATTCCCACTGAAAAAAAAAATATCACTGAATCCTACTCCAGCCCAAAAATCTGTTTTAAAAAAGACACCTGAGGACTGGGAAGCCCAGCAGCCAGCCTGTCACCTCAAATGTCTCAAAAACCAGTTTACACCTCCAATTTTCCATGCACAACTCCTTTTTACACCTCCATGCCCACCTGCAGAGATGCAACAGCATCTGCTCCCTCCACCAGGTAAACTGATTCCCAGAGAGACCCACAATTTTGATCCAAATTATAAAAGCCAGAAATAAAAAGCAAACATGTCAGTATTTATAGCTCCTCATTCTCTGGCTATGGAAGCTGTAAACGACTGCATGTTTGAGATGCAATTCCAGAACGGCTTTGGATCCTACTCAAGAAATCCCCCACTCAAAAATAACACAAGTGGATGGTGACAGTAGTGGATATATCTGTAAGCTGGTGTGTCAACCAAGGACATGCAGAGACACTGCCAGGTCATTTTTGGAACTGTTCCTTGGGAGGTTCATGGTAGTCTAAGCAAGCTCATGGGGTGCTGTTCTGGCCCATCCCCAGAGCCCGCCTTCCCAAAACACTTCCAGGTGCATGATGCTGAGTTTCAGCAGCAGACTGACAGAAATCCAGTCCAGGAGACTGAGGCTTGGTCCTATCAAGGGGCCTGATTCAAACTAGGTTGTGGTAGAAATTCTCCAACCATTCTATTGCTCACTTGGAAAAGAGCAGCAGGAACCCTTCCCTCACAGGAAGAAAGGTTAAGATAAAAAAGACTCATCTCCACACTCACTGAGGACACCATAAAGAGCCATCATGGTTGTTTAACCAAATTTGGGGTTTTTTTCCCCTCTTTGTTTTCTCCCCAAAGTTAGATCATGTCCTCTGGCATCCCATAACATTTTCAGCATTGCAAACTCTCCCACTGGGAACGGGGGGAGAATACTTAATTGTCACAACACAACTCATGGCTATGTAGACCACCAAACTCCCCTGGGTACTAAATGCCTTCTAAGAAGCTTTCAGTTTTGTAGGTTGGTTCCAGTTTCTCTAGGTTACACCCTAGGTCAGACTGCCCACACATGCCTATCAGAGAGATGCCACTGCTGGAGAAAAACGTTCCAAAGCCTCCATGCCCCTGGGCTGTAGAATTGGCTTCTTGCCACCACTGCTACTTCTGCTATGAAATGGGGAGGCATTAGCTTGTTACCAGGAGGTCCTTAATGGAACAGGGCATGCAAACTGTCCTGAGACACTGCAATTGGCAGCAAACAGCCTAGATGTGTTAGGGGTCAGCAGAGAGCCTAGATCTACAACCTGATTGAAGGCAAACTGGTTTGAAGCACTGTGTTCAGAGCAGTTGTAAAATCTCAGCAGCAATTCAGTGCTGTGCAACCACAATGCATACCAGGTTTGACAGAAAGCCAGGAGTCATTTGCCAGGTTCTACCCCCTCCATCAATCTCTCCATCCACTTCATCTCTGCTCCTCCCATTGTCCATCACTGAAAGCCTCACAAATTCCTGGTGCCCATCAGCACGGGTATCATCTCACCCGCAGGCAGCTCAGGCAGCTTCCAAGCAAGTCCATGTGACATTTGGCTCTGGTCAGATTTAAAGCCATCTCCACCATGCACTATTGATTGCACCAAGATATTTTGTAACAAGATAATGAGCTTTAAATCAATGCAGGCATTCTAACCCCCCCACGCACCAGCAGCCTGCCGTCCACAGCTATCCAGTTTCAGCCATTTCCAAAATTGTTTGTGAGTATCCAAAGAGGATAACAAGTCCCTTAAACAATCCCTCACTATTTTAAGAAACGGGCTGTGTCAGCCCAAGCTGCAAACCAGTAGCCAGGCTCTTCTGGTGACCAAGTGTTAAAAAGGAAGGAGAAATTTTTCTTAGGTGAAATGTGGGGGGGTTGCTTGTTTTTTTTTGTTTAATCTCTTCTTCTTCAAAGCTGCAATGGCCCTGGAGGAGAGGAAGCAAGCACACACTGATGTATTTGAATAGCTGTGTCTTAGTGGGTGATACATGTGCATCTTTGCCCTGGGGTATCACTTGCCACAGTGCTGAACCAGGAACCAGCAGCTCCTGGAGAGGAGGAGAAAGATTTACAGGGCAGTGTGTTATGCAGTGAGAACAACATCTGAAGGATTTACAGCATCAGTGGAGGGCAGAGATGTTGCAGGGGCATAAAACATGGAAGAATGAGACAGCAGGCAGAGTCTTGCAACTCTCAGAGCTACCATTTATTACACAGGGTCCTGACAAGGGGTGGGGGTGGTGGTTCTCCAAGGTGTTTTAGTGCAGCTCAACTTTGAAATACCCCTCACAGAGCGCTGCCCACAGGGACAGGCACATCTGAAGGAACAAGCTGTGGCCTCCAGGTGTCAGCATGAGAAAGTGCTTGGCTTTCCCAAGGCGCCACTAATCCAGGGACTCCTCTGGCATGCGGGGATATTTTTAAATGTCTTGCAGCTCTGGCTGGACCTCTTGGGTTTCATAAGGACTTTCCTTGTTTCCATTGCAGTCAGTGACACTGCATTAGTTAAGCCCCAGCGCTTCTGAATTACTCCTTTCTAATTAGCAAGGAAGGAAGTTTTTGGAAACCTCTCCTCTTATCTTTGAGCACGTTGAACCCTGGGTTTCAAGGTTCAGCTTCATCACTGAGAGTGGGAGTTTCTGCAAGTCAGTAAAGCCCTCAAGACCCATGGCAAGCCATCTGTAAAATGGTCCTGCTGCACCGTTAGCTTCAGTTGAGCAAAAAGAACTGGATTTTACTGAAAGGGTGCAAGAATCTGAACTATATAAGGCAGCACAAAGAAAGAAGACAAAAATACTCTCTCAGAATCTGGCCATCTCCACCTGAGCTGCTGGGAAGGCATGTGGGAATTACCCACCACTCACACCCAGGGACCTTTTCCCTGGGTAGGGCAGTAACAGGACATAGACATTTGCAGACTTTTGCTTTGCACTACGATGGGGGCCCTGTTGCCCCCACTGACAGGACAGCACTTTGTTTTGCCTTATTTCCCTTAACAAGGCATTTTCCCAATTTCTTTACTGAAGGTTTGACATAAAACATAAATAGGAAAGAAAAAAAAAAAAAGGTTGACATAAATAGGAGAAAATAATATAAAAAAAGAGACAGCTTTGGGAACTTCAACACCTTCCCCGCCAGCAACAGCTCAACTCCCAGGAGAAGCAAGGAGGAACCATAGCTACTGGCTGCAAACACATGCACAAACATCTCCAGGCTCCAAAGAGAGGAGCCATGGCCAGCAACAGGAAGTGGACAGGGGTTGCTTCACTAGTACAACCACAGAAATGATTGCCATAGAGCACATGCTTTGCCTGCTCTGCACTTCCATGGATGAGCTGAGCCTGGTTTTGTCTTTACCTACAAGCAGGTTTTGGACCTCTGGGGAGGTGGCAACCCACAGCTGGCAAAGGATGTAGTAGGATGATCACCCTGCAAAACACCAGGAAACCTGAGGGGTGCAGGAGGTGTCCCACCAAGACCCCCACCCCTCTCACCTCTCTTTAGCAAGCTGGCCCGGTAGCGACCCTCGAGGGTGCAGTTCCAGCGCTCAAAGCGGAACTGGTACTGGCACTCCAGGGCACTCATGCTGATGGCCTCCATCAGGGTTTCGGCCACGCCAGGGTCCCGCCGGCACATCCTGCGCTGCTTCTTCTCCAGCTTCAGGCGGTCACAGACTTTGTAGTGGGCTTTGACGGCAGCTTCCTCCATTTCTGAGGTCAGAGGGAGGATGGTCAGAGGTTCATTCCCCGTCAGCCTGTGAGGAACAGAAAGGCACAGAGGTGAGGACTGAGAAGTACAGCCCATGGTAAGTAAAGCCCTCAAGACCCATGGCAAGCCATCTGTAAAATGGTCCTGCTGCACCGTTAGCTTCAGTTGAGCAAAAAGAACTGGATTTTACTGAAAGGGTGCAAGAATCTGAACTATATAAGGCAGCACAAAGGAAGAAGACAAAAATACTCTCTCAGAATCTGGCCATCTCCACCTGAGCTGCTGGGAAGGCATGTGGGAATTACCCACCACTCACACCCAGGGACCTTTTCCCTGGGTAGGGCAGTAACAGGACATAGACATTTGCAGACTTTTGCTTTGCACTACGATGGGGGCCCTGTTGCCCCCACTGACAGGACAGCACTTTGTTTTGCCTTATTTCCCTTAACAAGGCATTTTCCCAATTTCTTTACTGAAGGTTTGACATAAAACATAAATAGGAAAGAAAAAAAAAAAAAGGTTGACATAAATAGGAGAAAATAATATAAAAAAAGAGACAGCTTTGGGAACTTCAACACCTTCCCCGCCAGCAACAGCTCAACTCCCAGGAGAAGCAAGGAGGAACCATAGCTACTGGCTGCAAACACATGCACAAACATCTCCAGGCTCCAAAGAGAGGAGCCATGGCCAGCAACAGGAAGTGGACAGGGGTTGCTTCACTAGTACAACCACAGAAATGATTGCCATAGAGCACATGCTTTGCCTGCTCTGCACTTCCATGGATGAGCTGAGCCTGGTTTTGTCTTTACCTACAAGCAGGTTTTGGACCTCTGGGGAGGTGGCAACCCACAGCTGGCAAAGGATGTAGTAGGATGATCACCCTGCAAAACACCAGGAAACCTGAGGGGTGCAGGAGGTGTCCCACCAAGACCCCCACCCCTCTCACCTCTCTTTAGCAAGCTGGCCCGGTAGCGACCCTCGAGGGTGCAGTTCCAGCGCTCAAAGCGGAACTGGTACTGGCACTCCAGGGCACTCATGCTGATGGCCTCCATCAGGGTTTCGGCCACGCCAGGGTCCCGCCGGCACATCCTGCGCTGCTTCTTCTCCAGCTTCAGGCGGTCACAGACTTTGTAGTGGGCTTTGACGGCAGCTTCCTCCATTTCTGAGGTCAGAGGGAGGATGGTCAGAGGTTCATTCCCCGTCAGCCTGTGAGGAACAGAAAGGCACAGAGGTGAGGACTGAGAAGTACAGCCCATGGTAGGAAATGGGGGCTGGGGTATGACTGGGGTCTTCCCCGGCTGAGCACTAATGTGGACTTGCCAATGCCTGTGCATGGAGTGATTTCATAGCATGCAGGGTGTGCATGAGGTGGGAGCAAGAGGAGAAGGACAAGATTTGGATTTATGTCCTCTACCAGCTCTCACAGAGCTTGTTTGGACACAAGACCTTGGCCATCTCCACCACAGGGCTGTGTTGAAAAATGAAATAGGGAATAAGTAGTTGAGGGTACCTAGCTGCAGGAACTTGGGAAATGAGTGAAAAGACAAGAGTGCTACAGCTACTCTCATTTAAGCACATCAAGTAGAATTGGCTTGGGAAAGGGGAGAGGGTGGTTCATCCCACCAGCCCCAGAAAGAGAAAGCACACACAGACACTCTGCCCTCAGCAGAGGAGATCCTTACATAAAATCTAGCAAGCCACAGCCTGAGAACAGGATACACTTTTACAGGCAATACTGCCAAAAAGGTTTTTCCAGGGACGAACAGGCTCAAAACCTAAAAAATGTCCTGAAGAAATACATGTCCCCTCCCCTGCCTTGTCCGAGCACAAGGTCCTTGACTTGTACAATGTGCAACAAAAGAAGCCAGCGTGCTATTCCCAGTGTCAAGTGACGAGCTGCTGGAAAAGGACCAGGCTGGCATTGGCCCCAGAGATCAGTGAGGCTGCAGGAACATCTGCTGGGCTCATAAGCAGTTTGTTGGCCAGGCTGCCTGTACCCCACTCTCCTGGCTCTGCCCTTTTCCGGCCAGATGCCAGTCCACACAGTCAATGGGAATCACTATGTAGGGTTTTCGAAGGACCTGAAGACATTTCCCCAGGCAAAAAGGAAGAACTGCTTAAAGCCAGGACCAAAAACTTGCTGAAACATTGCAATCCTGCACAGGAATGTGCTGCAGACATCTCCATCACTGCAGGATCACTGGGGTACAGGGAGTGGTGGGCATGGGAGAAGAGCTCACACTGACCCCCTCCACTGAACACAGAGGGGTTCTGGAAACCCCTTAGTATCCCACCTGCCCTGCAGGAGCAGTGGTTTGTTGTTGCTTTTTTTTAATAAGGATTTGTCTCAAATAATGATTGGACCAGAGGAAATAGCCTGAAGTTGCAGTAGGGGAGGTTCAGATTGGATATTAGGAACAATTTCTATACTAAAAGAGTGGTCAGGCATTGGAACAACCTGCCCAGGGAGGGGGCTGTGTCACCATCACGGAAGGTATTCAAAAAACCTGAAGGTATTCAAAGTGTAGACATGGCACTTCAGGATATGCTCTAGTGGTTATAGTAGCTTTTTCTGGGTTGATGGTTTGACTTGGTGGTCTTAGCGTTATTTTTCAAATGTGATGATTTTGCAATTCTGTGATTCTGTGATCTGCTTGTTGGCTAAGGTAGTGTCAAGTATTTGTACTTTTTGAACACATGAAGTGATAAATCCTTGACAAGCAAGATATAATTTCTAATTTCTGCCCTCTTCTTCTTCTCCAAAAGCTTGTGACATTAGTGTGCATCCATGAGCCCCAGGTTATCTATTAAAATGGGGTCCCTGCTGTGGGCAGGGTTGGGGGAGGCCCAGGGGAGACTGGTTGGGGACAGTAAGGGCTGCCCAGGGAGGTGATTAAGTCACCATCCCTGGAGGTACTCAGGAAACTTGTAGATATGGCACTTCAAGGCACCCTCTAGTGACTGAGGTTGGAGTTTGGTTTTTTGTTGGTTTTTCTTTTTTTGTTTGGGTTTGTTTGGTTGTTTTGCTTGGTTGTTTTTTTAGTGGGGGGTTTTGTGTGTGTTGACCGTTGGACACTGTGATCTTAGAGGTCCTTTCTAACCATGATAACTCTGTGATTCTGTAATCAGTGGGACACCTCCTACCAGGAGCACAGTCCCCAAGGGCAAGCAGCTAGGATGCTTCAGCTCCCAAACTTCCTTGCACAAGGGGCACAAAATCCTGACCTAAGCCACAGCCAGCAACATCCTGTACAGACATAATCATTACTGATCATTTCACATCAGATGTCTAAAAAAGGGAGAAAAAGAAAGGCTGGGTTTGGATTTTTAGGAGAACAAAGAATTGGGCAGAGAAATGTTCTCCTTCTAGTGTAGTAGGATTTCCAAGGGCAGGGGGGGAGGAAATAACAACAAACACCACCAACCTGAAATGCTAAAAATGAAGTCATAAATCTGTGGCAAATGTGGAAAACTAGTCTAAACAATGTAAATTTTCCCCAAATTTTGTTCCCCCAAAATGCTAAAAGCATCCAAAAGGCCAAACAGCAATCTCCATCTCAAGTACAGAGGAAAGTTCATGCTTATGTTTTTGCTGTCTGAACTGGGACAGTGTAGACTGGAGTTTGACTGCTCCCCAAGGAGCTAGGACATCACCCAGCACTGGTGCCTTGTTAACCTGAATTCTGAGCCGGCTTGTTCATGAGAATGGTGGCTTGGTCAGAGCTTCACACTAGTCAAAAAGGTCTCCAGGACATTTGTTCCTGGCCTTCATCAATACAATCATAGACTGGTTTGGGTTGGAAGGGACCTTAAAGATAATCTAGTTTCAACCCCTATTCCATGGGCAGGGGCACCTCACCCTAGTCCAGGTTGCTCCAAGCTCCAATCCAACCTGCCCTTGAACACTTCCAGGGACTGGGCATCCACAGCTTCCCTGGGCAACCTGGACCAGGGTCTCACCACCCTTACATTAAATAATTTCTTCCTAATGTCTAACTTAAATCTATCTTCTCCATTCCTGAAAGGTTTCACAGTTGGAACAACAGATATCCTTCAGCTGGCAAAGAAGAGAGAAAGAGGCATTAAAGAATTTTCTGCAGCTTCCCATTCCTAGTTTACTTTTCCAACTGAGCAGGTACTATTCAACTAAATGTTCTGGAAAAGATACACTCCAAGTACTCCAAGTAGGAGATTGAGGAGTGACACAGGAATTGACACTACAGCCAAGATTTCTAAAGAGAAATTGGTGATTTTGAATGCCTTCCCCACACTTCTCCTTTGAAATACTTAAAAGCAATATACACAGATCAAGTACATGTACCTCCAAAGTGGGTCCTACAATACACCTCAATAAAAACAAAATCAAAAGCCTGGGATAGGGAGAAAATAGAAAACAGGATCTGTGGTGAGCACAATGCAAAGGACAGCCCTCCAGGCTGGGTGGAAAGTCCTGAGAAACAATAGAAAATTGTCAGCAATGTCCATCTTTGCTGCTCTGTGTAAAAGGTTAAGGTAAGACTTCACCAGCTCTGATAACCCAAGAAAACAACCTGAAGACAAGACACCAACTTGATGTTTTTGTAGGGGAGACAGAAAAAAAGCTTTTTTCCACTTTCTGTTTCCTGACCCAGCTCTTTCCAATCCTCACCCATTAGAGAAAAAGGGCCATGAAAATCCAAACTGGTGAAAAACGTGCCATGGGCACACTGAGCCAAGACCTGTCCATCACTTCCTGGCTTATTGCTTCGAATAACTTCACCAGCTTTCAAGCTGGTCTGAATCAGAGAAGCCAGTGAATTAGGAAAGCATCTCCAGAACAAGAGAAGGAGTAAATTTAGGGGATGAAGGGGCTTTTCTTAGCCAAAAAGTAATGAACCTACTCCAGGTGAAGACCTCCATGAGCAAAAGCAACACATGTGCACACACGTCTCCCCCCACACCCCCTGGTGCTGGATCCATGCCCGTTTCAGCAGGGGGGAACCAACTCAACAGCCTCAGACCTGCACACACATTCCAGCAGCCCCAGGAAGAAGGGTGAGGTGG